ACAAAGCTTCCAGATGTAACCGTTCACCATTTGTGGCCACATCTCAGTTTCTGGATTTGAATATGTCCTTAAAACCACATTGTCTAATGAAATTTCAGGAGGACGTCAACACCAACAGCCTTATTCCACTTAGTTGCGAAGGAACTCAAAGCTTGTTTAGACGTTCACATTAGAGAATCCCTACCCAAGGCCAAAGCAAAACCTTTTGTCCTTTTCAGACTACCCTTAAAATCTACACAATGAGACAGAGGAACATTCTTTGAACTTTGCTGGTCCCTAGACAGAACGTGGTGGGTTTTTCCAAAATGCTTCCACACAGACTTTGGTTAGAAGTCTATGAGCCTAAAAGCTTACACATCTTTTGGCACAACTGCACCAAACATCACAGGTGTCTCTCAAGCCTCTGTGAGAATCTACACTGATTATTCCAAATATAGGTGTCAAATGCTTCTGACTTGGGCATCTGCATTACTTATGACTAAATCTGAGTGCACAATAACCTGCTCTTGCTCATCTCTCACACCCTGCCTCAAACAAACTTACTGATGCATGAAGGATTAGCAGCCCTTTCTCAAGGCAGAGTACCATTCAGAGCAGACAACATTCCAAAACACACTTCTGGGATGGCACCCCAGCTCACACCAAGAAAGAAGTTTTGGTGCACTTTTTCTCTAGCAGTCTTAGAATGTTGTAGTTTCACTGCAAATTTAGCCATGAGTTCTGTATGATTGTTTTGACTTTGTACAATGATTGAACTTTGAGAAAAGGGGAAAAATACAACATCCTACCCAATTTTTTCTATTGACATTCAAAGTAGACCATTAAAAAAAACCATCTCACCACATATTATAGTAAAATTTTCTTTGTGTTTCAGGCCTGCTCATACACAATCAGTAAGCTTCCTAAGTAATTATTTTTAATTGTTCTTGAAACATTATCTACAAACTTACTTCCCCAAACAGGAATATCTTTGCTTTCTGCTTTCATAACAATGGAGGCGAAGGTCATAGTTACTGGAATGGCATCAAAGTAGGAAGAATGGGGAGCCACAGTTAATATTGCTGCTTCCGCCGGCAACGCCCGTCTGCCTTTTACATTTATCCAGTGGAATCCACCAGCAAGCCACATCATTCTCATGATCGCTTTCAGCAAAATATCCACTATCCTGTAAAAAGTTGAGAGAACAGTTATGCTGCCACAGGAATATCTTAAAATAATGAAAAGAAAAACGTTACACAAAAATTTTGTAAGCATGACAAAAGTACAGACAGGATATGCTGCTTAAACAGAGCAGGAACGCTGCATAGACCTTTTGTTTTCTCTTTCTCAGCAGATTCGAGACCACTTTCAAGGTAAGATGCCATTCAATTTCATTTCATGCCTGACTATTAATGCTTTTTAATCACAGAAAGATTGGCATTTATCACTAAATTAATTTGGATTCAGACTATGACTGTTGAATTTCTTCTATACAATGTCTAATAATGCTTTCTAGTAACACCACAAAAGCTCCAGTAAACTAAGTCCTGAAAAATGCTATTAGGATATTGGGAGAATGCAACAGCCCTGATTCTTCGGTTTGAGTTTACCCAAAAAAAACCAGTGGAGAAACGTAGGACAAATTCTCAAACACAGGTATGCCTACAGAACACATCTAGGATCTCTGGAAATATTTTACTTTCTTCCCTTTTCCCCATCTCCTCTCCTCCTTTCTTGCTCCTCAAACAGCAGTTTTCATGGATGGGTGAACACTGTCTTACATTCTACCTTAATTAGCATTCCAATATCAAAGCAAACACAGACTTATTAATAAGCACCAAAGCATGGGGCAAGCCCTCAGAGAATCAACAGAAGTTTTGTCAATTCATCAATGTTATACTAAACAACAATTTAGAATATGTAATCTGGGCACATTCTGCAGTGTCAATCTTCATAACACGAAGTTGACATTACAGGAATAATTGAAATTGAAGGATGTCACAATGAAGCTTTACACTACATCCTCAATGAGGGTAAGAGGCCAGAGATGATCAGTTTTTCTCCCTGAAATTCTTAGGTCACCTAGTAAATGAAACAGTTGAGATATTTTTGGTTTCCCATCTGAGGAAAGTGTTTAAATAATAATTTTTATATTTTTATTTTGACGAGAAAAGCAGGTCTGTGGGACAGATATCAGTTATTTCCAATTTTCTCTACTTCAAACTGCTGAACTAAATAACGATTCTCTCAGTATTTCAGCACATCTGTGACTCACTTTCGCCACCAGGAGAGGGGCTTTTCAAGCTCTTGCTCATCAGATCCCATTGAAGCAATGAATGCAAAGGGCCAGGCCAGCAACATCATAAAAGCAGCAAAAAAGAGTCGGACAGGAAACAGAGTCAAGGTCATGAAGGCAATCTGCAAAATCCAAAACAAATACATTATTCTAACGTAATCTTGGACTAAAAAAAGTCAGCAACTCCTAGAAACTGATCTGAAGTCTTAAAAGTATGTTAAAAACAGCAGAATACACTTCAAGCCCAAACAAATAATTGTGGTGTATGTGTAACAATTTTGTATTCACCAATCTTAATTACAGCTGGAACACAGCACACTCTTTAAAGCTAATGCAGTCTTAACTTTCCACACTTCTTCAGACCCTATGTTTGTCAGTGAATACATCCGCATGCTCTCTTCCCTTTCTACAGCCTCACATTAAGTAAATATTTAGCATGGGTGTGTTGTAAATCTTACTGCACTACCGAGAAGTCAGTCCATCACGGCAGCTCCCAGTCAGTGATGTGCAATTCTTCAGCAGGGTGCATTCACATGGCAATACAGGACCCAACCTGGAAAGCTCTTCCAGGACTGGGCAGGCACCAGTTCCTCTGTTGTATGCTCTTGGAACCAGAAGCTGCAGGGAACCACAGTGGGGAACACTGTGCAGAGACCTCTGGACAAACATCCAGACCCACATGAGTTTAAGTTTCAGGTTTGCGCTAACAGGCACAAGACCCTGGAAAGCAGAAGTTTTCAAGAAGTCATTCTCCCATGGGAAGCCACGGTGAACCTAGTTGCTTCTGTACCTCCGCCCAGCACTCCAGTTCTCGGAGAGCCCACTCCCAGCCAGTCAGCCCTCTGCCTTCATCTTTGGTGAAAAACATGTCACGTTAGAACTTCTCCCACAGTCTTCTGAAGAATCCTCCCAAAAGTAGGGCCTTTCTTGAGATGTTTGGAGTTGCTCCCAACTGTCCTCCAGAAAACACAACTTAGCAACTATCTGTGCAATGATCCACTTGCTCCAGGAAACAGTTCCAGGAGCCTAGAGTCCCATCTCTCTCACTCAAAGGACAGGAAGAAAGAAAAAAAGCTGTGAAAGGGGAGGAGGGTACAGCTTCAGATGACTGGCTGAGGGAGAGAGACAGAACTGAAAACTGTTTGAAGCTGACTGGGGTAGCAGCAACACTCCTCAAGCTGTACAACGGAGGCTAGCAGAAGTTGAAGAAGACACTCTGAAATAGAAGGGCCATGTAAAGAAAGAGATTTGAAAAGGAAATACGATACATAGTCACAGGTGTACCAGGTGAGGTAGAAAGCACTTCTCGGCATCACAATGGCTGGGCAAGGATGAGTAATGAGGCATAAGGTGCTGTCTCATGTTGTGCTTAATCTGATGCATCTCCAGGCTGCTGTGGAAAGCCTTATTCATATTCTCCTTCCTCTCCTCCCTGATCCAGACCTAGCCATCATGCAGCTCAGTTTCCCATTGATCAGTTCCTGCTTCCTTGCACTTCCCAAAACAGCTCAATAACCAACTCGGCCTGTAGCTCCACCAATCTGTAGATCTAGGGTAGGGGCAGGGAACACACAGCAGGAAAAAAGCCTAAGCTACCAGCCCACTGCAATGTCAGACTTCACAGTGACAGTTCAGACTGGCACCATCATCTCATAACAACCATGGTCTCACTCCCCAAAACAGGATTCCAGTCCCTGGGTGGACTGCTTCAGTTTGCAGAATCGAAAGAAAAATAATTTTTTTTCTTAGATAGGCTGGTTTCCCCAGAAGAAACAGCACAACTTCCTAAACTGCAATGGTCAGATGAGCACTGAAGTCACACCAACTCACGCAACTCTGCATCCATAGACAAGACCATCGTGGCTGGCAGCAAATAGGGGAGCATTCATCTGCAAACTGGAGAAGAGAGAGCAGCTGCCTTCTAAGCTCATAAAATGGGAAGGACAAGCTGTCAAAAGAACAGGGAAACAAAATCCAGGTGAGGACAGAGTCCTCTGGGATTCACACCCTCTCGCTCCTACTCCTCAAAGTCTCCTCCTATAGCAGGGCAAAGCTGAACGGCAGGTGACCAGTGGTGAGCTATTCAGTCCTCTGCATCTCTGTAGCAAAGCTTTGTATCAAGATCACTTTAGAGCCACATCACACAACAGAAGCAGTAGTTGCATCCATAAGGTCATGAAAGATGACATAAAAAAAGCCTCTTGGTCTTCTGTGTCCAGAGTCACTAGTGGTAGAAATGGCCAGCAAGAAGCAGTTCTAAGTGCACAGGTGTACAGGGTCTGGCTGTGACACCAGCCTCTTTTTTAGCAGGTGGTAGTGCAGTACCTGTCCACACAAAAAAATCTGGTAGGAGAGAGAAGTATTTTTGGCCCCTGAAGAAGGTTAGGAATCAACAAAGACACTAACATTTGAAAAGCAGTTCAGTCTACATCTACATTCAGACACCTTCCTGGGTAAGAAAGCTTCTACCCTGTAAAACCTACATACAGTAGCAGTGTCAGACAGAAAAATGGAGAAGATCCTGACCCCGCTTGCTGCTGTCAGAGATGAGAATTCAGGAGACATACACTCCTCTTCTGACCTTGTATATATATCTTATTTCAGTGATCGTATTTCTACATATTTAGGACATTCACCCAGACACGCTTTCTATTAAAATTACAAATTCTATCTGGTAATAAGTCAGATGTAAACGTCTGTGTCTTGAGATACATTTAAAAAACCCTACAGGTCCATCTGGAGCTCTACCTTGGGAGGTTGAGCTCATGACCGATTTTCTCAAGAGGGGTTTGACCACAGCTCATTTAACATTTACTGGTCTACAGGATCCTAGTTAGTTTTTCAGAAGTTGCAGTGTATGCAGCAAAAGATCCATGGATAGCAGGAAGGGAGAGGATAGTCTGAGAGCTTGTAATAGAAGGCTGCCCTGGGAAACTGTACTCCCCTCTTCCATCAGAAGGGCTTCAATTTGATGTAAGGCAAGTCACTTACTCTAAGTAAGATCGTGTGTTCTCCTCGTTTAGACACTCTGCATTCAGATTTGAGTATGAACTTACAATGAAGGTATAAAACATGAACTTAAGTCCTTTTCAAGTTCTCCAAAACATCAGGTCCTACGTAACTGAGTGCTAAGCAAGAGAATCACAGACTACCCTTGTTTCTCCTTCTGTATGCCTCCATTTCCTGTCTGGAAAGTCAGTATCATACCTCTCATACACAGAGAAGCTGAAAAAAATGCATCTTTGAAATTAGCAATAGTGACAAACATCATTAAAAACCAGCTTATTCACAACAAAATTTCCACAACTTATTACAAATTAACGATCACATACTGAACAAAGAAAATAATGAACTGCACATTTAGCATGGTAGAGGTTTTGGTTTTTCTTTTAAACATATCAGACAGAGGCTACATCTTGCCCCACGCTTTCATTTCCTCACTATTATCATCCCTGCAGCCTCAGTTCATGGAAGATGGCACCGACGGAGCTAGGAATTCATCCCTCAACAATTCTCTTACTACCCACTTTCCCACTCTGCAAGTTCCCTGACTGACACAATCATGGAGATAAATATAGGAGTAGAAATTTTCATGTGCAACTAAGCCAATCTAGCATCATTACTGCTAAAAAGGGTGGTCCTGTTCACTCTCCTCTCAATCCTCCCCTTGAGTCAGCTCTAGCATTTATCTGAGCTTGCAATGAGCCAATATTGCTCATTAGAGTGAAGAAAAGCAATCCCAGCAAAAGAAAACAATCAGAATACAGAAAAACACAATAATATGCTGGTTTAATGAGCCAAATCAGCTCACGAAGGCACCAAAGGAACACCAGCATTGGTGCAATAAAAGGGCCAGAAATACTGGAAGCAAGGAAAATGGCATCGTACTGTGTTTTTAAGTGGCAGGGAAACAAAGCTACAAACACCTCGTGACAGCTCCAGTAACGCTTCTGCCTGTTCTGCAGAGGTAACTAGAACCAAGAGCTTTGATTTATCTGACAGGTGCCCAGAACATGTTAGGATGAACAAAATTAACGGTTAATGAAACCATGTCTGCCTTTCTTCCAGAAAGGATCATTTTATTATAATATTGAAATAAAACAGGTAGCTTCAAGAACAACCCCCACTGTCACCCTCAGATCACAGTAAAATAACATCATTTCTACAGGAAGCATGAGACTCAGTTCTCAAATAGCCTTACCGCTTTTACACTCCTGTTATCTCCCAGTTTCTATAAAGCCAATAAAAGATGATGTGAACAATTCCTTGGCACTCAAATGGATTTCTTTTTGCTGTTGTTCTTCCTCTTTGCAGTTGTTTTCTACCCTTTTTGGTTTTCCGATCCCACAGTCTCAGGCTGAAATGTTCTAAAATGCCTTTAGTTTGAGTTCCATTAATGAGCAAAAAAAAGCTAATGTAACTTTTTGCAGAGTGCAGGATGAGGTGGCAGTGAAGATAATGGGGCTATCTGGCAGATCATCAGCAACAGACTGTCAGACAAAGCAGTCTTGTCTCCCAGTCCCCAGTGCTCACCAACTTCTTCACATACCTCTAGTCCCCACACGTTCCTAACCTTCCTTGATAGGCTTTGCAATCCCAGAACTCAGCCCTATTAGGTTCACAGGGCAGACAGAAAAACCTGTGACACAATATGCGCCTACAGCTGAACAGGAAGCGAGTTCAGCTCTAATACTTCATACCAAGCCCTCAGTAACAGGCCAGGACTGCATGGAAGAGAACATGCGCTGCTGTAATTCACTGCAAAGCAGCCTCCCCACTCAAGGAATCTCCCTTTCTGGGAGAGCAGCATTTCTCGTAAGTGGAACAGTTCCACAGCTCTTCCTTAAGAGCCTCTATCTCAAGCACAACAATCAGTGAAGAGGTTAGGAGAGCATGATTAAGGTAAAGAAGAAAATCTATCACAGTTCTGTATGTCAGCTTGTGTGCTTATTCCTCACAAAAAACTGCAAAAATAAGACTGTAAGAAAGGCTGGGTTAAAGAACCCTGTGCCACTGTACACTGATAAAAGACTGCTCATTTAAAAAGCAGGACCGAGCCATACTCTTTGGTGAAGCTACTCCTTTGGTCTGCACACTGTAAAAAACTACAGAGCTTTAA